GTTTGAATGAAGTGTCGGTCTGCCAAAATGCTATCAGTGGTGTGCAGCTGGGTCCTGGGGAAGGGTTGTGGCAACGAACAAAGGAAGCTCCTGGCTCTGGTCTTCAGGGACGTGGTCTTGTTTTTGTTAAACAAAACAGCAATATGTCTTCTATTTAAAAAAAAAAAAAGTCTGTTTTTATTCCATAATTGCTTATGCCAGCGTTGAACTGGAAGGCGATTCAGATTAGATCTGAATAACAACTTAGGCGAGATTGGTTTTATCTTGCTGTTATATCCATCATGTATAAGCATACAGTGAAAAGGCGGAGTGTCTTTGACAGCAGCGAGTGCGCTGAATGGACGGGACAGTGCAAAGTAGTTGCACTCCTGGACTTATAGCAGAAATGAGGTGATTTGATGCAAGTGAGTAGGTGTCTGGTTATTGTGTTTGGGTGTGTGAAGGTCTTTTGGGTTTTTTTTAAATAGAATTTAGGCCTCATCTTAACTTCAGCGAGAAGGAACTGCCTCTTGCATTGCCACTCTTTGGACTCCTTGGAAATGGTGGCTTGTGTGGTCACTGATACTTTTATAATTTTTTCTCCTTTTCTCCTCTTCCCACACCTTCCTCCCTCTATGTTTTCACAAGGACAAGTAACATTCTGTTGGTTAATGCTTATCTTTGCAGGGAAGCTAGCGACTACTTTCAGTATTTCACCACTTCCTGAGTCTGCTTCTTTATAATGTTTCCTTTGCTTCAGGAAGCCATTGTATGTACTCCATGCGTGACCTGCTCCTCCTGTATGGCTTTTGTACGTAAACATAATAGCCAGAGATCAATGAGTGGTTTCTCACTCTGTTTCTAAAGAAATCGAGGGGGAAAAATGATATATTTAGTATAAAAATTAGCATGCCTATGGCTGGAGTCATGATCTCAAACAGCTGCAGTAAGAGCTTTCAGTAGTAATTTGCAGTTGCAGGTGACCACGCACGTTTCATTTTAAACACTGCTTGCTGTGAGACCAGTAAGTTCTAGAAATGCTGAGACTAGTAAGTTGTGGTGTTTCAGAAACTTACATGAGCTGGTTTGGGGAGTTTGGAGGTTTTTTGTGTTGTTTTTTGTTGTTGTTTCAGATTTGTTTGTTTGTTTGTGTGAAAGTGAAAGAGCACTTATTTGTGGGCTGTTGGATACTGTTTGTTTGACAGTAAAATACTTTGTTTTCAGAACTCTTTATTTTTCATGTAGTCCTTAGCTGTTTCAGGAGGTTTCTCAGTGAACAGCTCTCTGCTGTGGTAGAGGTGAACTGAAACAAATGTGGTTGATCTTCTTGTTGCTTTGTGTACAGAATCTCCCTGAAAGTTGTACTGGGGGCAAGGAGGGGCTAAGTGAAGGATCACAGTACATATCATATTTTTTTCCCTAGGAAGTGTTTTGGCTGACTCTTGTTAGCAACTCTTTTAAGAGGGATAGACCAAACAGCATTAAGATCCTGAAAGAGTCAGATATCAGTTTCTTTTCCTTTTTTTTTTTTTCTTCCCTAAATAGAACTTTCCTAGTATATGCCCACAAAGTTAAGATCTGAACTTCTGATGTTAAAAATGTACAGGAGAGATCAGTATTGCCTCCCTCCCAACAAATGTATTCCACACATACTTTAAGGCATCAGGGAAGGCGATGTTCCCTTTTGCGTGGCTTCAGTACATATCCTTCCATTCAAGATATTGAACTTCGCAGAGTCTTGCAGCTGTCGAACATATCTGCTAGTGCTGTGTTGGGATTTGACCACCAACGTATAGGTCCTGAGATGCGTTTCCACCAAGAGGAACTGTAGATTTGTGTGCCTGATCAAATTCTGTTCTCTGTAATTCCCAGTCCTCTTTTGCTATTGGATGCTAACAATATTCAGTCTCCTGGTCAGGTGAAATAAACTTACTTCATAATCAATTTACTTCATGCTAAACGTTGTGTATGTTTAAGTGGTGCGATTTATTCTTCTGATTCAACAAAGCCCAAACTGCCGTAAAATTAAACGTAATAATTTCTCTATTCTTACATATACAGGCAGCTGAAGAAGTTAGATGAAGACAGTTTAACCAAACAACCTGAAGAAGTATTTGATGTATTGGAGAAGCTTGGAGAAGGGTATGTGTTCTGTTCCAATGTACGGTTCTCTAAGAACAAATCCATGTAATGGGTATGCGTTCAGTGGTCTCTGATTTTTTCCTTTTTTCATTATCCAGTTACTGCAAAGGTATGTACTATCATAGTGACAGTGTTTGGTTAGTAACAGAATAAAGAATTTGTTTCCCAGGAGTATGATATCTTAATCCAAACAGTAGCTTACAGGGAGTTAAAACATTGTTGAAAAATGCCAGTCTGGAGTTGATAGGGCTCTGTGGGAACTCGAGAGGTTTTGTAGTTCATCCCTGCTACCTCTTGCAGAAGATCCTCGCGGTGGAAATGAAATTCTGTTGCATTGTGCCATTTGTTAAGGCAGAGCAGCATGAGGCTGCTTGGTGAGTGACATGTTTGCCACCTTAAGCAGTTCATTTGAAAAAAACGAGTTGTAAATCTGCCTGGCTGCTGTAAGTAAAGAAGCTGGAAATAAGACAGATAATATCTGACAAGAACAAGCAAACCTTTCTGAGCAGAGCTGTAGTTCTTACTGATGCTCAGCTGGTACTGTATGCTGGAAAAAGAGAGAATTGTATTTGTTGGATTTGTGTAAAAGGCCATTCCAAAGCTACGTAATGATGGTTGGCTCTTTTCTGACCGTCTCAGTGTGCTGTGACTTGTTTGTATTATTATAGTGTTTAGAAGCTAGTAGACTGATTATTTATATTAAAATACAAAATATTTTTAGCAGAAGGATAGTTAATTTTTTACCTGATGGCTGTACTTGCAAAAAGCAAAACCATAACATTTGCATTTTTAAAATGTTATTGTATTCAGTGTTTGTTTAATATTTTGCTTCATAGTTCCTATGGCAGTGTGTTCAAAGCCATTCATAAAGAAACGGGTCAAGTTGTTGCAATTAAACAAGTTCCTGTGGAATCGGACCTACAAGAGATTATAAAGGAAATATCCATAATGCAGCAATGTGACAGGTAAATGTGTACTGCAAAACTCATTATTGGCATGCAAAGAAAAGTATTGTCTATGATCTGGCATTTAATAAAATAAAAGCCATGATGTTGCCTTAAATGTTTTTTAAAAGGCCGGACTTGTTCGATCAAGTTACCTCGTATCAACTGAGTCATGTTAACTGACCATTTGGGTAGTGTTAATCCAAGCAAAGGTAAGACAGCGCAAATTTAGCTTGCAACAAGAGTAAGCTAAGTTGAATAACCTTGCACTTGCTGCCAGCAAAAAGCCAAGCGTGTGAGCAGTTACTGCGGTTCTCCCCAAGCGCCTTCAGTTGTTGAGCAGTGGTAACTTGATTGCGTGCTAGAACAGCAGTTCCCATGTCCAAAGGGGTAATGACTTCTAAACAAGTTTTGGTATGGACATAGAAAACTGTTAGGAGAGGGTTTTTTGTTTGTTTTTAAGGGGTATGTGGATGAGAGCCACTAATGCATGACTGCTCTTGCATGTGCGTAATCTACGTGCTGTCATCTGCTTGGGTGGCAGAATTGTCCTTCTTGGGCGTTTTCTGCCTGTGCAGGTTCTACTGCGGTACAAGCTGTCCGCTGATCTGAGCATCCCCAGAATAACTTGCTGGCAGCTCTGCAGGCTGGTCGTTGGCTCTCTGGGTTGTCTTTGCATGTTTGTTATGGGAAAAGATGTTGTAATAACTTAGGTAATGAAGAGCTCATGGGTGCGGAAGATCTCCTCTCAAAGTGTGTCCTAGGCTGAAAGTTTAAAATATACTAATTTCTTCTGGTATTATGAATCTAGCTTTGAGAAACACTACTTTGATGGACTTCAGGCATGGAAAACCATTTAAAATAAATTACATTAGCAATATAAAACTATGGTCCCAGTCACTTACTCTATTGCGCTTCACTCTCACTATCTTTAAATGAAGATAACTGGTGGCAAACAACAAAACGTAACTTTAAAATCATTTATTCATGAAAAATCTTACTGTGTAACTTGGAAAGCATTACTGGTTGTCTCTTTCTTATAAGAAATGAAATGTTAACGTTGTAAGACCTAAAATGAGACGTTACAGTTCTGAACAGCAGAGGGAGTGAATCACTGGAGCATCACGTTTTCTGTGTAAGCGTTAAGGGACACTGCGTGGTGTGACTGACTTGCTAGTTTTACAGTTTTTCTTTAGCAAATATTCAGCAGAGAATAGATTAAGAGCGCTTTTGTTCTTTAGCTCTATTCCCATAAAATCAGGAACAATCTTTCTGTTAGTTTTCTGCTTTCCCTTTTCCAGAGGACGGATGATTATTCTGACCAGTATACTTTACTAGGTGGTTTGCTTTTGGGGCAGCCAGATAACTGACTGTGAAAGACAGCCTTAGGTTGTACTGGATTCCTAAAATACACCCTGGACTAAATTGTAGAAACAAGTAGGTGCATGTGGTAGTGGGGGAACATTCCTCTTAATGAACATGATAGTTATTTTCCAGCAAACTTTGGACCTTATTCAAGGTTCCCATTTGGTTGCAAACGCTCTGCAACAGCTTTACCGGGGACTGCTGTGGTCTGTTTCTCATTTCCTTGTCCTGCCTTCTTGCTTGCTGCCGCACTGACCTTGTTGTAATTCAGTTCAGGGAGCTAAACGAGATTGAAGGCTAATTGGTCCTTGTTTCTATAGGATTTATTTTCGGTGGTTTAGCTCCCTGAACTGACTTACTGGCCGGTCAGATGAGCACCACTGTGGGGAAGAGGCTTGGCGGGACTGTGGTAGCCCTGTGCAAGTTCAGACTGTTTTGGAATACTTTTGATCAGGGTTTCAGTGGCGCTTCAACTCTGAATTTCTAAATCATACTTAGGGATTCTGCAGCATGTTGTGCTTATTCAGTTATGCTGGTTCCTGGTATTTGACTCTTTGTTTTCTTCTCCTTTTTCTACATTTCATAGTCCTCATGTGGTGAAATATTACGGGAGCTACTTTAAGAACACGGACCTGTGGATAGTCATGGAATACTGCGGCGCTGGATCTGTGTCTGATATTATTCGATTACGAAATAAAACTGTACGTCCTTTCTCCCTTGAATGTATGAATGGAAAATATGGGAGTCCAGGAGTTCAAGGAAGCTGAGTAGTTTGGGCATAACTCTCACGGTGTTCAATACCTGACACAACCATTGGCCATAACTTCAGATGCAGGTCCTTTGTTCCTCTGAAAATGAGAAAGCTGGTTACACTGATCAAGTTTTGGTTACCTGAATAATGTAATCTGTGGAGCAGATTTTGGTTTGTTGTCTTTCCTGAAAACCCAGACCAATTCCGAATAATAGACTCTACTTTGCCTTACTTTGGTTATTGCAGGGTAAGAATTACTAGTTGAGAAAGGGTTATGGTATGTGAAATATGGTACATGTGTATATGTATGCTGGTTGTAATCTAATTCTACTACATAATGCTGTAAGTTGCTAACTAATTTCCCATTGGTATGGCGGTAACTCTTCTTTTCTTCAGCTCACAGAGGAGGAAATTGCTACAATAGTGCAATCAACACTGAAAGGACTGGAGTACCTGCATTTTATGAGGAAAATACACAGGGACATCAAAGCTGGAAATATATTGCTAAATACGGAGGGACATGCTAAACTTGCAGATTTTGGAGTGGCAGGACAACTTACAGTAAGAAAAACCAAGATGGTTGTGTACACTTCAGTTTGTCTTTTTAACCTGCATGCAAGTATGACGTGCTTGTGGAGGCTTTGAGAAATTGTTCTAAACTGTTTTTTAGCACTTTACGTCAACATAATGAGATGCTAAACCAGCAGCAGATTAGGGCAGAGCTTCCTCTGTGGAAGCCATTGTGCCTAAGTAATGGTTTGCAATAGCATTTGCTGTTTTCTTCAGGATATTTGTAACTTCTGTAAGCATGTTTCAATTCCTCTTTGCAGCCCTCCGTATCCCAGTCTTGCTGAGTCTAATAATGTGCGTGTGTACAAGTAGAAGATAATTACGGTGATAATTCATTAATGAATGTTTGTGGCTAATACAATTGCTATTGTCTGGATCTTTATCCTGCTCTCCTTCTCAGGACACCATGGCAAAGAGGAACACAGTTATAGGGACCCCTTTTTGGATGGCTCCAGAAGTGATTCAAGAAATTGGGTATAATTGTGTTGCAGACATCTGGTCTCTGGGAATCACTGCAATAGAAATGGCCGAAGGCAAGCCACCATATGCAGATATTCATCCTATGAGGGTAAAGACTCTGGCCTTTTAAAATGTATTGCTGCATGGAAAGGATTTGCTATTATAGCTGCCTGAATAACATACCAACGTGCCATCTTGCTTTTAGTTTAGAGTAAATTAATTGTTTTCTGTCGGTTCTTTGTACTGTTGATCAAATCAAAAACAGGTCTTTGAGAAGGAGAATCTGCACAGGAAGGAAAATCATGATCCTCTTCTGTTAAGATGTAGCTGAAGCTTCCTGTTGGGTGTGAAGAGACATTTTCAGCTGTATTTTCCAAAGTGGTTCTTTTTTTTTTTTTTTTTTAACACAAGCACAAATTTTTAAGACTTAAAAATGGCAGATTCACACCTTTTGGGGCACATAATGGCTCAGACAGAAGCGTAAGTGCCTAGTGAGCAAAGTCTGATTTCTTGCTACTTGATCCCTCTGAGCAAATTTAGTATAATATTGGCACAAAATCTTCAGAAGCAGCAAATTTGAAATGTCTCTCATTCTGTAGTACCAGCATATGTTTGTGTGTATTTATGTTGTATTGTTGGAAAGCTTTAAACTTTGTTTGGAAATCTGGAATATTCTTCTGTTTTCAGGCAATTTTCATGATTCCTACCAATCCACCTCCAACATTTCGGAAACCAGAGCTCTGGTCAGACAATTTCACGGACTTTGTAAAACAGTGTCTTGTTAAGAGCCCAGAGCAGCGTGCCACTGCAACACAGCTTCTGCAGGTCTGCCTTTTCTTACAAGAATGTAAGCTCTAGAGAAGGCTTGCTAGGGTAGGCAGTGCTGCCTGTCTGTTGAAATGTTGGTTTCATTTTTTGCTGCTCCTGCTCACTACAGATTTTAGTTTTTAATATGTTATTTTAAAAATCTTGCACTCAACTTCAACTTTTCAGTTCATCTCTAAGAACCAATCAGACTTCAACTTCCTACCTTTGTCTTCTCTGGGTTGTTTTTTGTTTGTTTGGCTTTTGGAGGTTGGGAGGGGTGTTTGTTTTTTTACTTTCAAATTCTCACCAGCACTGTCAAGAAGCTGCCCCTTAGAACACTAAAAAGGGGAAGCTAATTGAAAGTGATTGCCCAGAATGGTCTAGGCATGGTGATGATCTGTGTAATTGGTTCTCGACAGCTAAGCTGCTAAGGAAAGAAGTAGATAGAGTTGTGGGAGGGGAATGAGCCCAAGGTCTCACAGCAGTAGCGCCTTTGGAGTACGATCTTGTTTGGAGGGTGGGAGGTCTTCCTCCTGTGCCAAACAGAAGTATTGGATTTTTATTTTAGTAATGTATCAAGTTAAACCTTAATTTTGATTGGAAGTAGACCACAGTAACAGTATTTTACTGTTATATCTTGGTTTGGATACAGTGCTCATTTGTTTTTAAAATACTTCACAGCATCCATTTGTTAAAAGTGCCAAAGGAGTGTCAATTCTGCGAGACTTGATTAACGAAGCAATGGATATCAAGCTGAAACGTCAAGAAGCACAACAGCGTGAACTGGATCAAGATGATGAAGAAAATTCAGTGAGTATTTAATAGTAACAGTGTACAAAGTCCAAACTCTTGCTCCTTTCATAAGATTTTGTTGCTTTGTTTTTGCAATATTTTGTCTAGTTACCTATGGATTTGACTTAGTTCTTGAGTTTTCTACTGTATATCTACTTAACCCGATGCTTGGACCCTGCTCAATCTTTATATTTGAGTGGGAGCGCCAGCATGTATGGCTTACTGTTTAGCTTATATTGTAGCTCAAGACCTGTGATTGAATAGGTCTACACAGTAGTGTATGCAAAAGACTTGATAGATTTTCCCAGTCGGATTATATTATTGCAGTATATATGCAGTAATGAGAATTTGTCATTGTAGATTCAGGTCTTAGACTGCTGTCCTAGTATAAAATTATAATATCATCTGTGATGCACTATGATATAAGTATGTTGTGTTGTTTTACTATTGTTGTGCTTTAGAACCCCCCTTATAGAAACTTTCTACTACACAAGAGCAACCGACAGAAACCTGAGGTGAGGGCATGACAAGTGTTCAGGGGATTGCTGTGAATTTAAGTTTGGGCTCCTTGTTTCAATGGTTACAGCATGTGAATATGGAAAGCATGTTGAAAGCTGTTTTTTGAACTTCTGCCTGCTTCAACCTGAATAAATTAAATGGGCAACAAAAGACATTGTATGTCAGTCCTTTTCAGAGGTTAGACTTGAATAGCATGGTCCACGTTATCTATGCTGAAGACATTGTTCATCTAGTTTTCCAGTTTAGGACCGCCTGTTTATACAGTGTGGAAGTAACTTTATTGGTCATGTTGCCATGATGTTGACTCTAAGAGTATTGTCCCTACCCTCTGTTCTTCATTTCTGACTGATCTGGAGTCACATTGCTGAGAGATGGTGTCTATGTAGTGGAGTTGAGTTGTCTCCGTCGGTGTGTGTGTTTTCCCAAAGCTTCTCTACTCTGTGTCTGCTAGCAGAAAAGTGCTCCCAAGCACTTCCCAAGTGCTGTGGAAATTTCTGCTGTAGTGCTTTGTTAAATGATATGTGGCTAACAAACTTATTACTTCCTCTAACCCACTCATCTCCACATAAAATTTTCCTCCATTAACGTCTCATGTAGTTTTCTCCTCCTCTTGCTTATTTGGTTTTGAGGTTGGGAAGTAAATTATATAGACACCCTTGACAGAACAGATAAAATGTGTGGAACACCAGAACATAGAGGGGTGTACTTCTTTCTTTCAATGACATTGAGATGGAGTATCACAGCTTGATGTGCAAGACCTCTGTTTTCCCGCTAACACTTATACAAATCAGTAAGCCCATGGTCACACAAAGAACTGTGAACTTCATCCTTATAACAAAACATGAGCATCTAATCCAAGGTGAGGTGCCTGGAAACTCTTCTGTAAACTTAAGAAGTGACTTCTGTTCTTGTAGTTGGATAGCTGGTCTACATTTCCAAGAAACTTAATAGATTGTGGAAATAATGACCTTGTTCTTCATGAAATCCTAGTCACAATATATACTTAGAATCACAGAATCGTTTAGGTTGGAAAGGGCCTTTAAGATCATCGAGTCCAACTGAAAACCTAGCATGGCCAAGTCCACCACTAAACCATGTCCCCAAGCGCCACATCTACATGTCTTTTAAATGCCTCCACCACTTCCCTGGGCAGCCTGTTCCAGTGCTTGACAACCCTTTCAGTGAAGAAATTCTTCCTAATATCCAATCTAAAATGAAGCACACGTAATGAAGCACACACCACCTAATGAAACTGCTACCTCTGGCTAATGTAACTATCTGCCAGAATTTGTTTCCGAAGCATGTTTTCCTACAGAGTCAGTCTCTGGAGCTTTGACAGCAGTAATTCAAACTTCTATAATATTAGTACCTGTTAACAAATGGAAAGATAAGAAATAATTTTCATCTGAAGAAAAATGGCTAGACTTTGATAATCTCTTTCATTCCTTTTTAAAGATTTGCAAATTCAGTTTGTTTGCCTTCAGTGCTTCTGAAGCTTATGGCAAGTAAAACTACCTAAATGTTAAAGATAGACTCCTAAAAATAGGGTGATCGTTCTTCTTCAGCGTGCCACATGCACTCCAGGCTTAGACGTCTTGCTCTCTAATAACTAATGACTTCTCAGTGAACTGTACCACTTGAGATAGGGGTTTTAGGTCCACTGTCAAAACTGGCAACATGAATGGAAACACGGATGACTGAAGGAGTATTGTAATCTACTCTCCAGACAGGTCACCAGGTCAGAAATGAGATACAGTTTGCATTGAGAAGCTTCTGCTGATTATTTATCTGTTCTCTTATTTATCATGCTGGCAGAAAAGTGTGAAGCCTTTTCATTACCTGTTTGGAGATGACAGGGAGAGAAATAAGTGCATAAACCAAAATGTTGCTTCTATGTCTGTTTGTAAAAATCTCTGAATTATTAAAACTTGCCAGTGTCCTTGAATACAGACATTCTTCATGGGACTTCACCACATCAGTAAAAATGTATTTATGGCATCCTTTTACAGGAAGAAGATGAATCTGATTCAGGTACCATGGTGAGGGCGAGCGGAGATGAAACTGGTACCATAAGAGCTGTCAATACGATGAGTGATGGAGCCAACACAATGATAGAACATGACGGCACCTTGGAATCCCAGCTGGGCACAATGGTCATAAACACAGAAGAGGAAGAGGAGGAGGGCACCATGAAAAGTAAGAAAACATCTTTAACTTCTAGACTATTACTTAGCTCCTAATGTGGGCTATGATATGTGTTCCCAACCTGCTTTGATAGCTTGGTAGCTTATTGTGATGTCTTTTGGTTGTAGGAAGCTAAAACTCTTAGGTCAATGCCCTCTGGCAGTAGAGGAGAGACCCTTTCTAGGTCCAAGTTTCAAACCATTCTTTTTAGTCTTGCACTTGGTATAGCTGATGAGTTGTGCACAATTTCCACGAGCTTCTGTGCTGATTGAATAAGATCTGATTCTAGCTAGTAGGGGGGGGTTTGTTGGTTCTTTTTTGTCTGTTTTGTCTTTTTTACAGAATGTAGAGGAGGGAGACTCTAGTGTAGGGTTAACAAAAGGATTTGTTTTGCTTTAGGTGATCTGGCTGTAATCTGGTATCTGAAAACAGCAAGTCAGTTTCAGAACTGATGCATCAAATTAAGGGCTACATTTATGAACTGACAAATATCTTAAGTGTTTCAAGCAGAGCAAGGCACTCAGTAGGAGGGAGCTAGCATCTCTCTAGACTTGCGTGGTTCTTTAGTGTTACTTTAATCCCTGAGGACAACTGATTAAACTGTTCTGAGACATTCAAGTTGAAATCTGTTCCGCTCTAAAATAGGAAAGCTTACTAAAACTACAAGCCTTGTCATAGGATGTAAGATTTAAAACGATGTGACTTTGGTCCCTGGTAGTCTGTGGGAGACCTCACAGCTTGAACTGGAAAAGGGGTTAAAAATGTTTCTTTGATTAAAGCAATGGCAGGGAGAGCCTCCCTGGAAAAGTATGACTAGAAGAAAAAGAATCTTTTCTCAATTATGAGTTCTCATAGAAATCCATTCCCACTGATCGGGTAGCCTCAACAGTATTGAGGCAGATATAGTCACGGATAACTGGCTGGCCAGCATGGATGTTTGTTCAAGGACTGAGGAAAGTGCTGAGTCGGGGCTCAGCCATAGTAAAATATGACCATCATAGGCAAGGCTTGTCCTTTTCGCTCTTGCGCTGCTTCCAAGGACTTCCTTGGCCATCTGATTTTGAACCTTTAGCTATTGCGGGAGAGAAAAAAATTCTTAACAGGAGTTTGGAAAAATCGCTTTCTCAGGACTTTGTGTGTTGAAAGCTTCTTTCATGTAGGGACCCTCTGAAGCCTGTGGAAGGATGCTGTTTCCAAGGGTGAAATTTCAGCAGAACCCATTAAAAGAGTTTTCCAAACTTTGGCAAACACTGATTCAGCCCATTAAAAGCCAGAGGTGTGAGCCTATGTAGCAGCTTGTGGCAACAAAGACATGGAGTAATACCTTGGGTTTTGTGGAGCAAGGTAGCTCTAGCAAGGAGACAGATGGATGCTTAGAGAAGCTGAAGGGTCACCCAAAGAGTGGGATATATTAACAGCCTTAAATAAACCTAGCGAAGCTGCAGTTTCTTTACAGATAGACAGCACTGTTAAGTTCTCATCATCACTGTGTATTGTTCCATTTCATGATTCACAATAACAGAAGTTTTACTGTCTGTAGTGCTCCTGCACTGGCTACCAACGGTGTGCAAATGAAGCACATCTTCAGCTTGTCTTCCTGTATTTAACATGTACTTATCTTCTCACCATCTTTTTAACATTGCAGCACTTGTAACTCCAAAGCGTCTAATACTCTCTACGAAGCAGTGTACAGAGGTTTGAGGAGATGCCTTTGATAATGTCTCTTTTGCAAGGAGATACTCTCATTTTGAATAGAATCAGTTATGAGGCTATAGCAATGTCTTTAATACAGTGTAGTATTGTCACCGTTTAGGGACAAGAATCTAACCTCAAGAGGGAGCTTCAGAACAAGCTCTAAGAGCTCCAGATCTCTGTGACTAGAAAGTCGAGTTTTTATTGTAACCCCCCCTTAGACTTCAGACTGCTTAAAAACCCTGTTCTTCAACTGCTATTCAAACTGAGTATGCGGCAGAAGTGCCTGAGCAGCTCTGCCTTCTGGAGGAAGCATTTTGAGATCCTGGGTGCGAGTGATGGTTGATACTGGTACCGCTTTCATGTCGATGGGTTTCACGCAGTAGTATCTAGTGAAATGCAGCTGCACTCAGCGCGCTCTGCTGCAGGTTGTGCTGCATTTTTGTAACTTGTACCTTGATTCCAGGAAATCTGATGTTAATGAAAATGATTGTACCAGACTAAAAGTTAACTTTTCCTTAACGTCTTATTCTCCTCCTTCCCTAGTAGCATAATTCTGAAATTCTAGCTGCTGCACAGAGCAGTTCTGTGTTTGTTTCCTGGACACACTGCAGGGCAGTATCTGTGAGCAGCTTGCCCTTCATGTGAATTGCCTATAGCTCCATTTTTCAGCTTGCCATTTCCACATGCGTGTTCTCATAACATTCAGTTAAATTGATTTATCTGTAACACTCATCAGCCTGCTGCAGAACTCTCTGGAGAAAGTTCTTTTTGTAATCTTAAATACAAGTGTAATAATGCTGTTTGGAAACCACTGATATTTTTGAAGAAGCTTCATTGATTCATATTTTTAAAGACATCTATATTTCATTTGGCAGCTTGTGTTATGACTCGTAATAAAACCTGTTTTAAGTCAATAAAAAAGTTCTGATTTTTCTTGCATGGCATCAGTAGGAGAATTTGGCTCCCCTAGGTATCTTGGGCTTTTTAACAGCAGGCTTCTGAGCTTGCGTTCTAGCCCTTTCTCCTAATTTAAAAAAATATATCTGTGTCTTCACCAGGTTTTGGTTTGGGTTTATTTCTCTTCAATGTAAAAAGTGTTTATAGGACATTGACGTATGATTTTTTTTAAATAGGAATGTCTTAGAAATCTCTAGCAAACAACTTCCAATAGCCTTGAAACTGATTCTTGCATAAATTAATTCATGACTTTTCAGGCTCAGAGGAAAAGCATTCTTAAATTCCAGTATTTCACATTATAGGGGAAGTGTTGTTTTGTAGTCAATTGAGCTGTAATTCTGTTTGCTTAAATTCTTTAATTTGCTTGGCTTTTTTCTGGTCACTCAATATAAATACTGAGGCAGCATTAAAAATGTCACTATGACATTCTGTTACGCATTTTGAAAGCACTCAAGTGATTGCCTGAAACTGCAGGTACTAAATTGCACTGCGACACATTTTACTTATAAATCGATTGCTATCAGATTACTTATGGATTGCAGTTAAACTATTCCAGGAAAACTTTGGAAGTAGCAAAAGAACTACAGATTAACAATGATGTATAGTAACAGACATTTCTGTTATGCTTGAGAGCTGGAATAACTTTTGAACTGTTAATATGTCTGAAATAATATTTTTAAAATTTTACTATGAGAAAATACATAGTACTAGTAAACAGTGCAGCATTTTTTACTCTTTCTTTTTTTGCTTTTTCTGCATTATTTGCTGTAGGTCTTTAGACAGTGGAAACTTGGCATGAGTTTGTCTCTTTGATTTAAAGAGTGGGACATAATTTTACAATAAAGCAGATAAACATATTGCCTTCCTTGGACACTGCAGTACGATCAGATCCAAGTGAAATAGGATCTAGTTTGTCTAGTACTATAATCTGCCCTATTTTCTATGTTAAAGTGCCTCTTGCTTGTTTAAGCACCAAATAAAACAATACTGGAGAATGCAGAGCTGCCAACAGTGGTGCGAGTTGGGCTGTCTGGTTTTTGGGTCGAGATGAATGAGGGATCTGGAGACAGTGGAAGAACTGTGGGTGTGGGGTTTTTGTTAAGGCAGCAAGCATTCTGTAGAGCATCTGGTGCAGAGGTAGACCAGAAGCTCTAATGTTGCATCTACCTTGACAATGTAACGTGCGGGTAAAATTTCTTAATAGCTTGTGAATGTTTAAAATAAAAAATTCTAAGCTTCATTCTTGTAATATGGTTAGGGGTGGTTTGGGTTTTGTTATGCTTTTACCATGCCCACACTGCTAAGCATGGTTGTGTCCTTTTAAAAAGATATTTCCCCTTTTGAGGGGAGATTGGGTTTCATTAGCAAATTAGATGAGCTAAGGTGCAAACTTGGCAATTTCCTGTTAGAAAAATGATTCAGAGTAAGCTTGTTAGTCTTGCTGGCTTTGTGAGACATCCAGTGGGTGACACTTAAACCTAAACCAAAGAAGTGTTACTACCAAGACTCAGGAAACTTTCTTTCCCCACAAATTAACCTGTGATTTTTTCATGTATGCAGTGACTGTAAAAGCTATAACATGAACAGCGGAATGCATATGGATGGCAGAAGGTTTAAGTGATTGCATTAATATTATAACTGAATAAAGAATTCCTGGTATGTAGCTGAGGTAGCTATAGGTGGTGTAATATCAGTAGTTGTCCAAAAAAATGCAGATGCATGTTATCGAAATGGCTGGTGCAGGTATTGTAGAGAATAGCTCCACATCTTGTCAGGATTTACATCATGCGTATGTCAAAGGTATTGGCTGTGTTTTGCCTCTGGTTTTCTCCATAGACAATAGCTCTTTGTAGCAGCTTCCCACTACTTAGTGTTATTAATGTCCAGTGGTACAGTCTGTGTTTAAAATTGGTCCATTTAGGCATGATTGGACCACAGAATACTCCTAGCATTATGCATTTAAATAACACCCTGTTTGTAGAAACACCTACATTGATTAAGTTCTTCTCGCAGTATCGAACTGTCGGAAGCATTGTGCTGCCACTCTTGAGGTGTGAAGAGTACAAATCTTCACAGATAAGTCTTCCAGCTGTGTTACTTTTTGACTTATTTTAATAGTAGTCTTGCTGGCAAACTTGACTTAAACAGTGACCAGCACAGTTTGTTTAAGAATATCAAGTTGTGCGGACATGCAGACAGTATTTTTGAGCGATGGGAGGAGTTGTATATGCTGTCCTTTTGTTGTGGGTTTTGTTTTTTCTCTTTGGACAGTGGTAGGCTACTGGACCTCTGTGCAGTATGATAACAGTTGAAATAGTGGTTCTGTGCTGACTGAAGCGTGAAGCAAAGTTAGGTCCGGGATCTAAATTGGATGGTTGTCCACCTTTGGTTGTCCTGAATATTTGACAAAACTTTAATGCTAAGACAAAGTTAATCATCTGTTAATATTTGTATTTTCAGAGACAGTGGAATTGGAGAAAGAGATGTATGTGTTTAACACAGCTATTTTTGCTGTTCCTAACACGTTATTATTAAGCACTCCTGCATTTGTGATGGTGGGGGACAGAAAGTAGGGGGAGGTTTGTTTGTGTGTGTTTTTTTTTTTTTCCTGAACAGAAGCATTGTCTTGAGGAAGGTGGTAAGTCTGACTAACAGATCCTGAATAGCATACAGGAGGCAACATGCTTCAGGAAACTCAACCAAAAGACAGAGTAGTAGTAAATCACTTAGTAAGTATATCTCTGTCCTATATACATGCATATATTTGCACATACAGGCAAACGATAACTTACCTGTCTCTTCTAAGAATAAACTCACTTCCTACTGGATCAGAATAAACCGTGGAGAAAGCTTTCCTCCTTAATGAGGAAAACTCTATAAACTCCTAAATTCCTTACTTGCAGAAGTTTAAAATCAAATTAATTTTTACCAGCAGGTTTTGAAGCTTCAGGAAAAAAATATTCATTGCCATGTTGTTTTCTGTTCTCTCTAGATAAGCAAATGAGTTTCCAGGTTATGAATAGAAAGGGTGTTAGCAGATGCTTACTTGGCTATATGCCATTTGGGGAGCCTGAGCTGTTACCCACAGCTTGCTGGACCTGAAGACTGCATCCCTGTCCATGAGGTTCTTTCTCATTAAGATTCATCAGAACCTGAACCAAATGATGCAGGATATGAAATGTTCACTTCTTTCTTTATGCACCTTCACATCTCCCTGCCTGTGTCAATACTGTGGTTGCTGGACTAAATTAATAATTCAAGCTAAAGAGGTGAAAGACATAAGGTGTCCACTGAAAATTTGTGATGGAGGAAGAAAGCTGCTATATATTTGTAATATTTTCTGAGTTTTTATGTAAAAGAGATCCAAAAGAAGGTAACCTGGTCTTAAACAGCTTTCATTACTGTGAGGATTTCCTCCTCTTTCAAAAAGAGTCCTCAATTATGTACACCACAGCATTGTATGAGTGTTGGTAGTCTTTTCCTTAGATGACTTTGATGTCTTATATTCATTAAAAGGGATTAGTTAGGATACCTAATGTGGTTTTTTTTTTGTTTTTTTTTTGTTTTTTTTAAATGGTCATTTAGGAGCTCCTTCTTAATAGCAGGACCTGTCAGGTATGCTTTGATTTAGTTTGAGATAAGCCGTAATTACGGGAAGACTTGTCCTCATAAGCTTCAATAGATATGAAGTGTTATGTGGTCTGCTTTTAATGTGAGGAAATCTCAGCTTGTGTTGCCATGGGGTGAATTCATTAATGATGGAGCACTTTTTGCTCTGGTTGAATAAACTGGCATCTCTCTGCTGCATAAAATGACTCAGTCATGTTCATACTGTACAAATTATGCTGTCCAGCTGCTAAAGTTCATCTGTGATCGCTAAGAAATCGCCTGAAGCAAATAAAACTGCAATTCCATTTGAAATTTAATATTAATGAAGTGTTGCTTGCACATCATCATCAGGCTCTGTTTTGTGCATCCTAAATACGTGTGCATTTTCAGTGTTAAAGTTACATAATTCAATCTAAAGCAGACAGAATCTTTCTGAGACTCCTGGGGACTAAGTCAGTGAAAGATCTATGCTTACTTAGACTACTAAAATGAAAGATGACATTAGGTATGAGAACTCCTTAAAAAAAAAAAAAAAGAAAAGTTTTGAATGCTGAAGTGCTGAGGCTTGCTCAAGAACTCAAGCTTACTCAAGTACAAATACACTGGCTACCCATAAACTTCAGACTGGAAATGAGAGGGTTTATAACTCCAGAACAGCAAGCCTGTCAACAGCAAGGACAGAGCAAACCAACTGCTTTACAATAGATCTTGATCTCTCTGTGAAAGGGACTGTATAATCTTGTACATGATAGCAGAAGACTGTACTGCTTGTCCCAGGGGATCCTTTCTGGCATTATGTCTGAATAAAGACAGTGATAGCTCTGCTTTCCTTAAAGTTAACGTGAGTGCTCTTCACTGCATCTCTGCAGAGCTGTAACTTCCCGAGCTCTGGGCAGGGCATTCATGATACTTTCCTCGTACAAATCAACTTAAGAATTTTTGGTTTTCTTGCTCCTGACACCTCATTCTCATAAACACAAGTATTCTCCAGAGCTGAGGCCAGTTGTCTTTCTAAAGATTGCAGCCTCCTGAAATCTTAACAAATACATATGCATGTACCAACTATCACGTTTTAGTTTGATATGGCTAATGTAGTAATTGATCACTTCATTGTTGTTGATTTACATTACCTTCTTTGTAGACGAATTTGTAGCATGGTCTCCTGAATGTTCCTAGCCACAACTCTAGCTCCAATTTTTGTGATATAAGGGAGGAAATCTCTCACCATGGCTTCAAGAATAGGTATTTTAAGCATTAACTGTATAAACTGACTTGAGTAAAGAGCACACAAAATGTGTTCCTGAGGTTATCTTACTCTCTGTCATGACAAGCTTTGTGACTCTAGAATATTCACCCTAGGTAGATAACAGCAATCTCTTTCAAGAGGAAGAAATAATAAAACAAGGATTCTTCTGCTGTCAAGTTTGAGTAGAGGAGAATAATTTTAGAGAAAGGCAGAAATTCTAGGTTCATTACTCGGCAAGCTTGTTCAGATAGAGAGAGGGACTTTGTAAATCTCACTTTCCTTTTGAAGGTGTCCTTTGAAGCTCATGAGCTCCTGAAAATTTTCAATTGTGAGAGCTAATTTGACAAAATCAATGAGTGCTTTGATTTCTGGGACTAGATGATACTGAATGATCTGGTTTCATGGATATTCTTTACTGCTGAAAAAAAAAAGTAAATCTCTTGCTGGTTTAATTGACTGTGCTGTTTCTTCTTTATCATTCTACTTTTGCTGCAGCATCATATGCAAATACAAATGGCTTGAAGGCTCTCCACACCTTCTTTGTCATCTTTTGCTTGATGTAAGGAGGTCTATATGCTGCAGTTAACCACTAGGACTGACCTCTTCCATTCCCTTGAGTATTCAGACAGGTGATGTTTTTTGGAAGGGAGCACATTGTTGCTTAAGTTTTTCCTTAAAACTTGCCCTTGCTGTAGCCTCACGGAGGAGAGGATGCAGTATGCTGAGGCCACTGGCTGTTGCTGATGTGGCCTCGCTGGCTTCGTGCAGTGCCTTGTCTGTATCTATCAGTCAACTTTTGATTTGTTTGGGCTGTTTGTGTGTTGGGTAGGGACTGTCCCAGCTTGCATGGTACCGCATGCAGTTGGACTTTGCTTTCCAGTGCTGAAAGGGTAACGCTGTTACCGAAATCAGTAGTAAGCTTAGTATGGTGCTCCTTTAAAAATCAAAATCTAAGGGAATATTTGTTATTCACAATTACAGCATCCTCTACCTTTGAGCCCACCAATGCCACAATTTTTCTTGTTCTCACACACAACAATACTGATGTTCTTATACTTTTCTAAACATGACTTTTTACCAGGCAGGGCTCATGAGTTTTCTGCAGAGGGCTTCTGCTCTTCACCACATGGCAGGCTGAACGATAAGCGGTCCTCCCAGCGCCTGTGGCTCTGTACAGCTAACCCAAACCTCCAATTCTGCAGTCAGCTGGACTAGCTCCAGCAGAGCTGTGGTGTTCCATTTGTGTAATTAATACAGCTCCTAAAAGATGACTGCGTATCTA